TATATATATACATATATAAAATATAAATAAACATGAAATTAATAAAATTGTTGTTTACAGTGGCCTCTTTTAATTGTATGCATATTTAAAAAACAAATTATCCAATTAGACAAAACTGCAACCTTAAAGTTGTAAGATCTGTCAGACTCTGCATGTATATATTCTGCTTTAAAATAAAATAAGAGATTGTCTATTTTCTAAGGTTAATAATAGCCAATAGGAACTTTCATAATAACAGTGGCGATAGCAACATACATCGGCCTACTTAATCACAAACTATTCTCGATTGGCAATTTAACAATGCAATGCATAAACTTGAAAATACATGATGATAAATTTTTTTTACTCTCATCGACGAGCTGGCGAGCGATGATAAAATCAACAAAATACCTGAACTGTGCGGCCACAACTGCACGTGATTTTTCAAAAAATTTTCTTCCAGAAGGATGTATTTGTTTTTCGGAATCTTCAACTTACCTGAGTCTCCTTTGTCGCGTTTAGTTCTTCACAAGAGTCCGAAAGATCGGAACCGCACGATTGATCAGATCTTCGACGTCGACGTATGTCCGACATGTTTTATTCGAGACGAAAGATAGATATATAGTTTTCTGTGTCCGTTACTTCGTGCTTGTCAGCGTAAAATATCAGCGGATGTTTCACGAATAATTAAAAATGCGTCGGGATACTTTTCTCACTTGACGCGAATCAACGACTAGATTCGACTGCGTGTTATCGAAAACTGAAACGAGCAGGAGCAGTGAATCGACTTTGTAACAATCTGAAAGACACCTTGTAGCAATAACGCAAAATCTTCAAGCAGAGAAAAACCTGAGAGCGGCCAGGCCCATAAGAGTTTTTGGAATCGCTTTTCCGCCCCGTAAGCTAGCGCATGTCCATAGGTGGTGCACATTGGCAACTACGTAGCGATGTCCACGAGCAACTTGTCGATACGTACGCTATGTACGTGGACATGGTTCTATTCCGTGCTATGTGCATGATTCCAAGCGTCGAGAAAGATCAAGCAGCCGGCCAGCACCAAAGTGGTGGGGGAACGCACACAAGCGAAACCGCCGTCGTTCGTGTGCGCTCGTGGAAGAGTGCAGACATATTATGTTCCGTCTCCCTTTCACCAAGCCGAGTATAAGGCGAGACACAAGGCATGTTTACGTTGCACGCTTGTTGCGTATGACAACGTGAAATGCTTTCTCAAGATTTGTAGTCTTGAAAAAAGTTCATAAAAGTTCATTCTTGATGTGGTTTATTATTGATATAATAATTATTATCAATAATAAAACATCAAAATGCATTATATATTTTTATTAATTATTAATACGAGTTAACTGTGTCATAATTTAAAAGTTTTTTTTATAGAATATTGAGGAACATTTACCACACATATAATATACTATCTATCTATCTATATGTATATTCTATTATTAGTGTTCATTTTTATTTATTTTTATTTTATAAATTACAAAAAGAATCTACATTTTATAAATGCAATTAATAATAAAATATTTAAGTAATTCATATTATATAATTTACTTACTGCGTAAGTAAATTATTGTAAGATTATCTAGCTGTGTTTTTCAAAATACAGCTGATCTTGGGGTCGCGTGAGCCGCGTTTATAAACATGTTTGTTAGCCGATGATCGCGTGGCCCAATCGCTTTTCGACAGGTATTTGTGAGAGCGGGATACAGCGCTCACGTGCGAGCCTTCCTGGAGAGCGATAACGTTTTTCTTCACAGAGCATTTCCGAGAAACCAGCTGTTAAGAAGTTAGCGTTGTCGCCTGACCTACGTAGGGAGATCGTTTTCCGATATCGCGCCTTTGTATAAGATAAATGTCCCAATGGACGCTTAAGAAGTTAGTATAATTGACGAAAACATTTTTTTATAACTTCAGACTTATATACCTTATATTTATATAAAAATTAAACGGCAGAATGTAAGTTTTCATAAAAAAGAATAAAAAGCAAGTTTATAATGGACAAAAATGTAAAACTATTT